CCACTCCGGACTTCAGCTGCCTCCCCCGCCCCCCCCGCCCTCCTCTGCAGGTTCTGGAGTTTGCTGACTCGCTACCTGCCCACCCACAGCATCTGCTCCCTGCCCTTCGTCACCTCCTTCTGCCTGGGCATGGGCACCCGCAGGGTCTGCTACGGCCAGGTGTGTGGCCCCCACCCTGGGTGGCTGGGCAGTGGGGCTCCCTTTTCTCCGTGCTCTGGGCCTGGGCGAGGGAGGAGGGGCCTGGGCGTTCACGAGGGGCCGATGGCGGCTCTGCTCTCCCCATCACTTCCCCGCACACCCTGCCGCGTGCCCGCAGCTGCCTCCAATCCTGCTTTCTCTCCAGGAGGAGGCGGTGGGGCCCTGGTACCACCCGGGTGCCCAGGAGCCGCAGCCCCTGTTTGGGGAGCACAGGCTGGAGGGGCCCGGGGAGGGCTGGGTGAGGATGCACAGCTGCCTGGCTGACGCCTGGAACGGGGGCAGCTCCCTGCTCATCCGGGGGAGGATCCCGCCCGAGGTGGGACACGTGGCTGTGAGGTAGGTGCCTGGGCAGGAGGAGGCGCGCGGGTCCTCCGCTTCCCCCGTTGTCCCGTGGACCCACTGACTGGGCAGCTGGGCGGCGGAGCCAGGGGAGGACGGAGGGCAGAACCCAGGCGGTTTTATTGCAGCGAAAAGCACGCCACACACACTCGACCACCTGACCCGGTTCTGAGCGTCCACAGTGTGAGCTCCGCACACTGTGCGGCCTCTCCGCACTCACCTTGCAAAACTGGAAGTGTCCCCACGCCCCCCCTCCGGCCCCCCAGCCCATGGCCGCGCCACGCTCTGGTCCTGTGTGGCGACGCCTTAGCTCCTCGTCCGGAGGACTTCAGAACAGGGATTTCTCAGTCACGAGGGGGTCTGGCCTGGGGGATGGCCGTCCCCAGCGTGGCAGGACCGGGGCGTGGCAGCCCGTGCCGCCCCAGTGCCCTATCCCTGGGGGGTGGGGGGCCCGCCTGGCGGCCGGGCTCTCACCTGTGGCCTCTCATCACAGGACCTTCCTTCTCCAGGTTGTTCTCCCTGCAGGTCCCGGTGCCCCCCAAGCTCTTCCTGTCCCTGGTGTATAAGCTGGAGGGGACGTCGGAGGTCAGAGTGGCTCTGGAGCTCACCACAGGGGACGCGGGCAGCTGCTCTATCGGGGGCGTCTCGGCGTTGAATGGTGAGGGGACCGAGCTGGCTCCTGCCTGTCTCCCAGGTCTCTTCCTTCTCGGGACGCTTTGCGGGGAAGGCATCCAGAAGGTGGGGGTCCGGGGAGCTGGTGTGGGCAGTGCCCGGCATCCACCTCTGGGGGGGGCGGCACCCCTGTGGCCCAGCTCAGGGCGGGGGGTCGGCTCTCAGCCTCCTGCTGGTCGTGGCATCAAGAGGGAGTGCACCCAGGGGTCAGGGAGAGGCCAGGAGACCGCGGAGGGGCCTGTCCTGAGCACCCACCCGCATACCTGCCTCCGCCCCGCCCTGGTTTCCCGCTGCGGCCTCAGCCTGTCGGGGCGGCCCCATGCCCCGGGAGTCGGGAACCCCTCAGGGACTCCTGGCGTGGCTTCTCCTCTTCCTCAAGTCCCGTGTCCTTTCCCAGCAGAAACCAGCTCCAGGCACAGACCCCGACCCCTGCGGGGGCCCCCCACCAAGCTGGCCAGGTGGGCAAGATAAACACCGGGAAATTAATGCCGCTCACAACAATTGATTAATACCTCAGAGAAGGCCCCCACACAGGACGGCCCCGCTGGTGGGGACTGGAGGTGGGCGAGGGCCCCTGTTGAGAAATCCCAGAACTGGAGGGAAGGAGGGGCGCTGGACTGACCCGCGCCCCAGGCAGCTCCCGGGAGCCAGCCACGTGCCCTGGGCGCGGCCGTGGTCCCGCCTCCGGTGCAGGGCTCCCCACGGACACCAGGGTCCACTTGGGATGGGTCTGTCTTCCCACTGCGGCTCGGGCCTCTGACAGCAGCTGGGCGCCCGGGCCGCCGTGGCTGTGGCCGCCGTGACCCGTGTCTCATTGGCCTCCAGCTGCTACGAGCTGAGCCTGCGCAGCTGCTTCCTGCAGGACCTCTTCGTCAGCTTCTCCCGGGCTCCGGGCAGCCGGGAGGAGGAGGACTTCGTCTGTCGCCTCGGGGAGATCCAGGTCAGGCCTCTGGGGCGCCTCGGCCTCATTGGGGCTCGGCTGAGGCGTCTGTCCCAACGCCCAGCAGGGAGAACGCCGCTCGAGCTGAGCGGCCTCGTCCTCTCCCCTCGGGCTCAGGGAGGCGGCGGGGGTGCCGGGGAGTGGGGCGCGTGGGGCGGCTCCATGAGCCCCTGGGGCTCCCCAGCCATGCTGTGCCTTCTCTCCACCAGGTGGTGGATGCCGAAAGCCTGCTGAGCCCTCTGCCCCAGGTGCAGGCCCTCTCCGTGTCCAGGGTCGGCTGGCAGCGGGCGGCCCCGGAAAGCACGGGCCCCCCGACCAGGCTCCGGCTCAGCTGTACCCTGCACTGGTCCTACCCGCTGCCCCACGCCCGCTGCTTCCGGATCCACTGTCGCCCAGGGGCCGGCGGTGGCCCTCCCGGCACCGGGCCCCTGGGGCCGGAGAAGCCCACGCTCTTGGGCCTGGCTTTTGCCAACCAGTACCGTGTCGTGGACCTGGCGGTGGCTGAGGCCCAGCCCGGCCAGGACGGCCGCGTGGAGTTCCTGGTGGAGCCGGTTCCCATGGAGGGGTTCCTGGTGCCGCAGGCCGAGTGGGGCCGGGCGGCCCTGCTGTACTCCGTGCCCAGCACATGAGCGGACACTGAAGCCGGAAGCCGGCCCCCCCGCACAGCCGGGGCTCCTTGTACGCGGGGCCGTGGGCTGTGCAGACAGCGGCCCAGGACCTGGGGCCCATGGCTTTCCGGGTGGGCCTTGGTGGCAGGAACACCGAGGAGTCGGTGTTCTGGGTGCTGATTCCCTGAGGTGCCTGGACCCCGCCTTTGTGCAGTCTCTCTCCGCAGTACACAGTTCCCGGGGAAAGTGGGAGGAGTTGGGAAAGTCGAGTCCAGAAAATTCCATAAAGGGCGTTTCCTAACAGGCTGGTGCTGAGCATGGCGACTTCATTCTGCAGGAGGGACAATTGGGGACGAGCTTCCGTTGTGGCAGGAGGGCGTCGGAGCAGGCCTTGGGGTCATTGCTGAGGGTGCCGACGCCAGCAGAGGCCAGCAGAGGCCCGTGGGCTCAGGGAGGGGTGGGTGCAGGTGCTC